GTATGGGTCTTGTATTAAATCAGGGGGAAAAATGCTAGATAAAGCCCTAGTGATTATGTGTTTATTCTTGTTTGTGTATAAGAGGGTTGACTTTCCTGCATTTCTGGACTGTGCAGTTCTGTTGGCAGAATCTTTTAAGAGTAAATCAAGGTGACAACTGCAGTGTCTTGAAGAGTGAAGCCACACAGGCAGTGTGTATAAGTATGGTAAAGTGGCTTGTGTAGAGTAGGCAAGGAACATCTGATGAGCTTGGTCAGCTTGTGTAAAGGTTGCATTTACAAGGTGAAAGAATATCCTTTGAAAGCAGCAGCTTTGCCTAGGAGTCATAAGAAATGTGAAAAAAATAAAGATGTGTTAGGATGAGGTTGCTGCTGCGCACTGAGTGGGAAATTGTCCGATGTTTTAACTCTTCTTTTTGCCTCAGCAGCATATTGTGTTAAATATTGTTGTGACAGTGGCTGAGACTGAGTCTGAGGACTCTTTTTAGGACATCAAACCTCCTAAGGCCAAAGGGATCTGTAGTGTGTTCTAATTCATAGTGACTTATTCTTGTTCTGTTGTTCACTTTTTTTTTTTTTTTTCCTCTTCTGGAGGCCATTTCTTTCCTTCCTTGCTACTTTATCTACAAAGGATAATTACTGCTAGTAGATCTTTTTTTTTTTTTTTTTTTTTTTTTTAAGTCCCTAGATATGAAACTATTCTGTATTTCTGAAGATTCTGTCAAATGGGTGATGTCAGATTATCTAGGTTACCCATCTTTGATATATCTAGGGTGGGTTTTTTGTTGGTGTCTTTCCTGAAGTCCTATTGTGGGAAAAACATTATAAGAAAAATTGTTAATAATCTTAACTGCAATTTGGGAGATGCTGTACTGGTAAATTAAAATTTTAATATATCTTTATCAAAGTATCGACTACTAAGCCTTAGCACCTAATGAATCCTATTCAAGTAAAAAAAAAAAAAAAAAAAAGTGCTATGGTATACTGCTTGTTAAGGTTTACTTAGATAATACTTCAATCTAGGTTTAAAAAAAATCAGATTTAGAATCAAGAGTCCTTGAAAGTGTTCATGAAGGACGTGCTATGGCTGGTAGAACATCACGAAGTTATAACTCTTAACTGTCAGGGTAAGTATTGGTGTGCTCAGAACTAAGTGTTCCTGCACCCTAGTGCTGGTACTTCATAGAGATGTGGAAGACTGGGCAGAAGTGGGCATCATATCAGAAAATGAATGAGCAATGCTGTTATTAAACCAAATGCTATTTTAATGTAATACTTTGCATTTCAGAAATGTTTTTTTCTCATATATATTATAGAATATCCCAAGAAGGAAAGGACCCGTTAGGATCGTCAAGTCCGACTTGTGGCTCCGCACAGCACCACACAAGAGTTTATTACCTTCTATGCAATACCTTTATGCATTTAAAGGGTGTTATCATGCATCTCTTTCACTCTATCTATGCTAAACCAAGCTATTTTTTTCTCTTCTTCCTGTCAGGATTCATCTGCTGTACCTCTCTTTGTTCTTGCTACACTCCTCTGGACTTTGTGTTCTGCAGCCAGCAGTTCTGGCAAACAAAAGAACTAAAGGAGGAAAAAGGGTTCTGCAGGTATGTTTGGCATGCGTAACAGGGAGCTGCTCTTTTCCAATCACAGTGACTGCAGGAGCCCAGGGTCTTTGTTTTTCTGACAGCTGAGCTATTCCCATATTCTGACTCACCAGTGGCTGTTTCTACATGGGTGAAAGCAGCTGCACTCTGCAGCACCACTCTAGCCCTTGCAGGTGAAAACAGCCATGAAGCAAGTGTTGCCCTACTAGTTGCATCAGTCCTGTAAAGTTCTGTCCCTTGTGAGCACTGCCTATGTGTATCATGACTCATCATTGTGTTTGATAAGGGAGATGGAGAAGACCTATCATTCTACAAGGCTCCAGCATGAGTTCTGCAAGAGATTAAAATGAGCAGGACTGCCATGTGTCCTGGTTCTGAGGTGTTTCTGGAGGATTACAGTATGTGTTCTTTGTGGAGGACGCATGAGCAACAGGAGAAGCAACTGGACATAAACTCCTCCAGAGAAGTTGCCTGCTGTATCAGCAGATAAGCAGAAGAAAGAAATTGAGGAAGCCAGGCATCACTTGAGAATCTGGTAACTTAAGTCATCTTGATCAGATTTCGGGCAAGTTTTTGGAAAGCAAACCAGGTGAATGATATTGTATGTCCTTAGGAGTCACACTATTTGAGTCTATACTCAAGCATCTCAATTTTCAGCAGAGCATCACATGGGCCAGAAAACTGCTCTGTGGCCACGGTGTCCTTGAGATGCCCAGCACCTGTGCTGGAGTAGATGCCTGTCCTTTCGCTGCTTAGAGATGAGACAGACTTTCGCTGGAGCTCCTGTAAGCAGTAATGAGAGGATGAGAGTAAGTAAATGCTGGTGAGGTCCCATTGTACATCTTTCACCTGTAAAACTGATTTACATCTTACAGTGCTTGGTACAGCCTGATCCTATTAACTCTGGCAGCAGCCATAGGTGTGCTGTAGTTATTGACAGCTAATTATGGGTAGATAAATAATGAATTTCATTGTAATTATTAGATGATAACTGCTACTAAGACATTGCTGTAGGAAAATACTAGGAAGAGTGGAAGATATTTTGGAATTTAGTATCTTGCTGTATTATAATATGATCTGTTGGTTTTATCCAACAGATATTATGACTGTTGGATTTATCCAACAAGGTTTCCCCTGCAATTTTCTAATGGAATCAAAGAAATATATTGAAATCCTCCTCCTGCCAAAGGAGCCTATTGCTTGTAGATGATACTTTTAATCATGGAATTGAACAAGTTTTGCTGAAGATGATTTCCTGCCATTTCAGCTCATGAAATGACAGCTGGATATGAGTGAAATACAATGTATTTTAAGAAATTACAGAAATGACAGCTAAAATCATCTCTCTGCTGGAAATTGAACTGAATACCATAATGGTAGTTCTGGCCTTAACCTTCCCGTGTGACCCAATTTTCTCTCTTCATTTTCTTTCCTACATAAAACCTATACAGCTATAGTGGAAGACGCATTACATTCACACTGTAACTAATTGCATTGAAAAGAAATAACTTTGTAAAAAAAAAAAACAAAAACCTGCAATATTTTTGAAAGTAATACTTTTAAATGTTTCATTTGGATTTCAATTCATATGAACTCACAAAAGCATGAATTCGTTTTGCATGTACCTTCTATTAGGCTATAGAGAAATGAAAAACATAGAGGAAAAAAAGTGGAATGATCAAATTTCTTTTGAAATACCATCATTTTCTACCATAAATGGAAGAAAGATCTTACAATTTTCACATAATGATAATATACTTACTGTGCTTGGGTATATTACATTACTGGCAGTAGCATAAATACACTTAAGTAGGTTAATATCATCAATGCCTGATGCATGGATCTTTGAGTAACATTCGGTTTCACATTTTCATATTTAAAAGTACTCTACAGATTTTAAATTGTATATAGCATTATGAATTAGTTGCACCAATATTAAATAATTTTTGGACTGCTGAAAAGGACCTGGGGGTACTGCTTGGTGGCAAAGTGGACAAGAGCCAGCAATGTGCCCTCGCAGCCCAGAAAGCCAACTGTTGCCTGGGCTGCACTAAAAGAAAAACAGCCCGGGGCAAGGGGAAATGATTTCAAACTGAAAGAGAGGAGATTTAGACTGGATATAAGGAAAAAGTTTTTTTATGATAAGAGTGATGAGGCACTGGAGCATGTTGCCCAGAAATGTGGTGGATATCCTGGCCCTGGAGACAACCAAGGCCAGGCTGGACGGGGCTGTGAGCACCTGATCTGGCTGTCGGTATCTCTGTTCATCGCAGGGGCGTTGGACTGGATAGCCTTTAATGGTCCCTTCCAACTCAAACGATTCTATGCTCCTACATCAGGAACTGAAGAATTATAAAATTATAATGTATTTAAGAATGTTTTTCATCAAGGTGTAACAAGTGTACGTGGCTATATTGTAGAGTACATTCTCAAAATAATTGTAATTTTTTTTTTTTTTTTTTTAAATTTTGATAAAAGGGGACTGTGACTTGTTTTCATGTGGGCATACAAATGGTTAGTGGTATGTTAGGGATAGGCATTACATCTAATCCCAGGCAGCTATGATGGACTGGGGGTTGGCTCAGAGACACTGCCTCACAGGGACTCTTACTGTGAGGCACCAAGGGGAGCAGTTCGCAGCACTGACCTGCGTCGGGGATGAGACCTGTGTGTTAGGGATGAGATGCCAGTATCCTTGAGAAACCTTTATTTTGCTGTGCCGAAACAAGTTCGATTTTTTGCAAACTACAGGAGGCCTGCATTTCCAGTGACAAATGAGATTAAGTTCTAAAACAGCCACCGTGGCTTAGCATGCTAATGTACTGGTCCTAAGGACGAGGCTGGGATAAATAAAATAGAAAAGGTAACGTCAAGAGGCGTCTGGATGAGGAGGAGCTACAAGATACGGTTTAGAAGCTTGTGGTAGCAATGGTGATGGGAGGTCGGTTGGACTAGATGATCTTGAAGGTAATTTCCAACCTTATGATTCTGTATTCCGCACGTGTCCAACTTTTCCGTCCCGGCAGCGAGACGCGTACACCTCCCGTTCGTCCGGCACCGATATCCGCGCGGCAGGTGCCCTCGCCCCGTTTGCAGGGCCCCGCGCAGCGCCGCCGGGGGCGGAGGGTCCGGGCCCGCCCCGCCGCGAGCGGCGTGCCGCTGCGCCAACCGCGCGTCCGCGGGACTGCGCGCCGCCCCAATGGTGGTGGGTCCTGCCGCAAGGCCCGGCAGAGGGCGGGGCGCGGCGGGTCGGGGCTGGGGGTGAGGCGAGCGGCGAGCGGCGCCCAGCCGGGACTTAGCGGCTCGGCCCGGCGGTGAGTACGGGAGCGGGGCCGCGCGGAGCGGAGCGGCGGGATTTCCGGCTCGGCGCGGGGGGAGGAGCGCAGCGGGGAGGGCCCCGCCGGCCTCGGTGCTCTGGGCGGTGGGCACCGCCCTCGGCTGAGGACGTGGATGGTTTGGCCGGGGCCGCGCGGGGAGGCGGGCGGCTGCCGGGCGCCGGTGAGTCCCGAGGGTAACGGGACACAGCTCCGCCCGGCTGGGGGAACGCGTTCGACCCTTGGGACGCGGATGCTGGGCGCGGGGGTCGCTGCTGAACGCCGCGCGCCCATTCCTGAAGTTTCTGCTGCGCGCTTTTCCAGCGGGCTCTGCTCGTGCGGGCGGCATCCAGCCGTGGTGGGCGCAGGGTGCGGGGCAGCGTTCGGCCCTTCGGCCCAGGGCGGTACCCGGCTCGGCGGTACCCGGCTCGGCGGTACCCGGCTCGGCGGTACCCGGCTCGGCGGTACCCGGCTCGGCGGTACCCGGCTCGGCGGTACCCGGCTCGGCGGTACCCGGCTCGGCGGTACCCGGCTGTCTTATCCTCCGGAACGCTGTTTAAAAAAACAAAGCCCGTGTATGCAGCACCGACTTTGTAATGAGGGTTTGCAGTTGCTTTGCCTTTCCCGAGACAAGGGAAAACACTTTGGTGCTGTAGTAACGACTTGTTTGTTTTTCCGAAGGAAGTATTAAAATTGTCTTTCATTTGTTAGTAATTAGGTATCGGAGCAGCTACACAGTTGTTGGTGGAGACCCCAGAGCGTGTAGTTATTTCAGGAGCAGCTCTGAGTGCACGCATTGGCCTGGTGGGCTTTGCCAGCAGACAGGAGTGAGTGCTTGAGGGGACAGGTATTAAGAATCTGTCCATTGCAGAGGGTTGTGTTACAGCACGTCTGGTGGTGTCATTTTGACCCAAGATTTTATCTGTCTTGAATTCTGTGATTTTGGTGTTTGTTCAACCCACAGCTACTGAGCATGGCTTTTGTCTTGTGGTGGCAGGTATGAACTTAATCTTGCTTAACTGCAAGATAAAAATGGGTTGTTATTATTATTTTCAGTTGTACAACTTCACTGTCACAGTAAAATGCATATATAATTTTTTTGTGTAAGATTTTTTGTTGGTACTGAGAAGGCATAAGGTTCATTGCTGGAACTTGGGGCCGTTCTTCCAGGCAGCTGCAGGTCAGGCTGCTGGCTCTCCTCTGCTCCTGTCACCTGGGCACTCTGATCTTGATAATCTGTCTGACTTGCTTGGTTTAATCCATCTTGTCTTCTTCTTTCCACCCCCTTGGCTCAGCAGCCCATGAACTAGTTACGTGTGTTTATCTGGCTACGAACAGTAGCTTTTTAGACAGTGCCTTGAAATTGGATATTTATGAAGGCTCTGCAGTGAGAATTCAGTGCAATCTGGGCACAGCTCGATTTACTTTTGCATGAAAAATGGAATGTTATATGGGCATGGATGAGGCTTGTGATGGGGCAGGTGCTCTGTGTCCAGCATGTGGGGTTTCTGTGGCTGACAACCATGGGTGTATGCGGGGGAGAACGGGTTGTGGAAGCAGGCTACAGCTGGAAAATGTGTTTATTTTGGATATAAGAAAAAAGGTTTTTTTTTTATGATAAGGGTAGTGAAGGACAAACAAGTTGCCCAGAGAGGTGGTGGATACCCTGAACCTGGAGACACCCGAGGCTAGGCTGGATGGAACTGTAAGCAACTTGCTGTAACTGTAGGTGTCCCTATCCATTGCAGGGGGGTTGGACTGGATAGCCCTAAGGTTCCCTTCTAACTCATGTGATTCCATCAGAAAAGAGTGGCCAGTAGGGACGAGGAGGTGATTGTCCCCCTCAATTCTGCTCTTGTGAGGCCCCATCCTGAGTACTGCATCCAGGTCTGGAGCCCCTAGTACAAGAAAGACATAGAGCTGTTGGAGAGGATCCAGAGGAGGGCACAAAGATGATCAGAGGGCTGGAACACCTCTCCTGTGAAGACAGGCTGAGGGAGCTGGGCTTGTTCAGCCTGGAGAAAAGAAGGCTGCAGGGTGACCTCATTGCAGCCTTTCAGTACCTAAAGGGAGCTCACAAACAGGAGGGGAGTCAACTCTTTGAAAGGGTTGATAATTGCAGGACAAGGGGAAATGGTTTTAAGTTGAGGGAGGGAAGATTGAGATTGGATGTCAGGGGAAATTCTTTACAGAGTGAGTGGTGAGGTGCTGGAACAGGCTGCCCAGAGAGGTTGTGGATGCCCCGTCCCTGGAGGTGTTCAAGGCCAGGTTGGATGAGGCCCTGGGCAGCTTGGTCTAGTATTAAATGTGGAGCTTGGTGGCCCTGCCTGTGGCAGGGGGGTTGGAGATTTGTAATCCTTGATGTCCCTTCCAGCCTGGGCCATTCTGTGATTCTGTAACTCTGAGAACATGCTGTCCAGCAGTTCCTGCTCAGCACTTGTCTAAGCAGGATCCCCTAGGTCTTACAGTCTGTTTGTGGCAGGACATGGAGAGGAGCCATAGCGCTGTACAGTGGTTGTCACTGTGACTGTGACATCAGCTGTGCAGGTTGTGGGCAGCTGGATTTGACAGGTCAGTGGTTAGAGCACCACAGCATGGGAAACACTCTGCCCTGTGAACAGATCCCTGTCTCCGTGCCCCCATCTGGCCGGAAACCGCCGTTCCTCTCTGCAGAGAGGGCACAGATCTGCCCGCGTCAACTCTGGTGATCCTTTCTCAGAGCAGAATGAAATGAAAAAGAAAATTTCTGGAACTTCTTGAAATTTCAGTAATACATCAAATATTGCCCTAAATTCAGTAGTTCTATAGCATGTCTTAACTCAAGATTTCCAAGATCTGAACTTTATGAGGCGCATAGCCTTAGTTTTTTAGTTGACTGAATTTTTAATGTCAAGTCGCAACTTTTTGAAAATGCTTTTGGTGACTCTCAGCATCTATATCTCGGCTTTTGGTGATTCTTAGCATCCCTAACATCCCCCTTAATATCTACATAAATCACTCCTCTCAGCAGTACTTTTTTGTATTTACTTAATGGTTGTTGTTTTATGAGTATAAAAGCTTGTACTGATTTTATTATTATTTTATAATAATATAAATGATTGTGGTTTTTTTTTTTTGCTAGAATACACTAGTATTTACTTCTTTGTGGGATGGTTCTCTTCTGCTTTTCTTTCTTTTTTTTTTTTTTTTGCTTGAATGTACTTAGTGTCAGCACCAATAAATATCATTACGAAGAAAGACCGATGTCAGAGGACTCTGTCATTTTGTTCTGAGCTGTTCAGGGGTCCTTGTGTAGTTGATAGACATTTGAAAGGAGACAGCAAAGTTCTCTAAACCTTAAAAAACTTTTGTCAGACTTCATAATTGTTGACAGAATTTGTTGCAACTGGGAATAGTACATTATTCACTTGTGTAACAGGAAGTATTTTAATTGCTTCTATATAAAGTAGAAATTATTTTTGGACTCTGCTGTAGAAAAATTCATAAATTTCAGTCTAGTTCTGAACAAGTCAGGAAACAACTTCTGCAGTCTGTAGGGAAGGGATATTTTTGATTTGATATTTTGGATTAAAATGTATGCACTGTACAGAGCTATGGTTGTTACATTCTTCATGCTTTTTTAATACCACTCTGCCCTCAGTTTTGTGAGTCATGGAGAAAGTAGCAGTGTGCAACACTCAGTTTTCCTTCTGCATGTGGGACAGTTGTGTTCATTCCGGTTCTGTCAGGTGACTTCTTGTTTCATCAGGTTTGTCCATTTTACAGATTTAGTTTAGAACTGTATAAGGGATATTGTGGGAAATCATTTTATGGCCTCTAATTTGGAAGGCACTTTTGAATCTGTCTAAATAAGCTCAGCTTCTTGGCGGCTTTTTAATCTGCAACTGCATTTCCATACTGTGCTTGGCTACTTGTGGAATAAATATTGCAGCAATTGTCCTTTATGGAAAGTTAATTGGGAATGTTTTGTAAGTTCTAGAGGGGCAGGAAGTGAGGCTTCAGTGATAGTGTCATGAATTACTTTCATTTTGTGTGTATTCTGCAGAGTGGGAGTGAGGCATCATTTTGACATCCAAGACCTCCTTTTCTTATAGTAGCAACTCACTATGGATATTTTTTTCACCCTTGTTCATACTTGTATAAAATCTCCTTGCTACCTTGCTGGTGGAAAATTCATACTGAAAAGTTGTGTTCTGGCTCTATAAGTACTTTAAAGAGTGGAAAAATGCAGGAGAGCCATGGCCCCCTCAACCTACTGATCTAGGGGGGGTTCAAAACCGAGCCTGGGAATTAGGGAGGAAGGCCACAGGGGTGCTCTAAGGAGAGGTGCTCTTGTGATGAGAATGGATGTATGTTAGCAGGGCAAAGCCAAATTTTTACTACGTTTTGCTATGGAACTATGATTTAATTTTCTGTCTGTTTCCATATCTTTCTCAGTAAGATCACTGTGTGTGTATGTCGTAGGAAGAGAGCAGAATCTGGGCAGTTGTGATCAGTAGCACCTGTGGAAGGAAGCTGCTGCACTGGAAGGAGCTTCTTTTGAGATTTACATCTCTTGGATGTTTTCTTGTAGTCAGAACTCTGACTTTTACTCTCATCAAAATACTGAAGTTGATTTTGAGACCAGGGATATGTGAAAGTACAAGTTGCTTTCAAAGGGAACAATAATAAGTCGTGCTAAGCAAAATTTGAAAAATATTTTTGCAAACCTGTGTTTTTCAATCAAAAACTGGATTCATGTTTTTATTCTGAAACTGCCCAAATCAGCAAGAATGTGGGAAGTGATGCATAACTGGACAACACTGATTCATGTCCTACACGTTAGCTGCTCAGGAAGCCTGAAGCTTAATGTCAAATGTGTGGGTGAAGCAGTTAACCAGAGCAAAATAAATTGTTCTACTTACACAGTGGTGAATAGGGGTATTATCTTGGGGAATGTCTGCTTCGGTGACTTACTGTTCTGTACAGCACTTGTTACTTGGGACTGAACCATGAATCCAAGCTATTAGGATCCAAGATCAAGGTCAAACGTTCACTCTCATTTCTGTTCTCTGGTCTGTTTTTTAGAAATGCTTTCAAAATGATTGCAGAAATAATGTGGATGTTGTTTCTAGTTACAAAGTTGGGAAAATGTATCTTCTACGATTGCAGAGCTGTTTCTTGTGATCATCTCATTAAATATAC